TTGAATTTATTTCAATAATGTTTTCATTTACATCCCCTGTTATTCTCCACCAGTTTTGTTTGTTTGCTTATTTCCTCCATCGTAAAGCTCAGGGATTTTCGGGTTTCACACATTTCCATTTTCATCATGGTGCCACCTTGTTTTGCCTTTTGGAGCATTGTTTCATTGTGTTAGCATCTGATATCTTTGGTTAGTTTAAGTAAAAGTGAATCCCTGATTCACTCTTGTTTAGCGTTTTACCACACTACACCTCTGCGCGTTCAGACAATCTCAGACTTTTGCTTCTTTATGATTAGATTAGATTATGATTTAAAATGTTTTCGGTGATGTATGCCTTATTATTGGATACATAGTGAAAGTTATTCATGATGTTCATTTAGAGCTGATGCATTAACTTTTGCTATCTGTCTATAATCTGTTTAATAGGTTTTGTATTTTAACATTGATGAAGATGGTGAAAAAAATGTGTATTATACTGAAATGTGGTAGCATATGTAGTGGCTGTTGTCATTTGTTTTGATTATATGCGATTGTCTGTAGCTACAGACAACATTTTGGTTTAAAGGTATTGAATTATTGAGGGCTTCAAAATTGTTTCTTTGCTCAGCTTAATGCTGTGGCATGATTATCTAACCACTGTCAGCTGTACTGTATATGTGACACCAACCTAACCCTGTAAAACCCACTGTTGCAAATTTACAACATCACATTTAACAATTCTAAAAAAAGCCTGCAATTTTTTTTTTTCTCAAGACCACATTTACATAGTTAATGGGTCCTATTGTTTGTCCTCACAATGCTATTGGATAGAAGAAGTGTTTATAGGTCTGGTCATCTGGCCATGAACTCACGCTACCTGCAAATTTCCTGTTGAGCTCATCTCCTTTTTTTGCATGACTGGATTTGTCAGGATTAAAGTAAGTAAAATTCCTTAAATATTTTTTTTTGTGTTTATTACAATGTCTAGAACATGTACATATTTAGTTATTTTGGAAAACATTCATCAAATTTGATTTATAGCTTGTTATGTCTATGTTGTAATTCTACAACGTTGGGTCAGTGTGGTAGTCAAAATAGCCTGTGCTACACATTACATAAGGTCACTGCACTTCTCACATGGTCACAAATTGAAAAAAAAAATGTAGTAGAAATTTAAAGTATTAGATGATTCATTGTAACGAAGCTCTAAATGTGCTTTTCTGTTAAATTTTTACTTAGTTTAGCTTAGACCATAATTAAACACATGAATAAATTGTATGGGGTATTTGAAACTCCAGCATCTATAGCAGTATTTGAAACTCCCTGTATCTTTGTAGTTTTTTGTTTGTTTTTTAACTTCTAAATGATCCTGAGCTATTTTTCTCAGTGTTGCCCAAGCAGCAGTTTGTAGCATTAGGAGATAGAAAAACAGGTTCTGAATGTTCTGGATTTGTTGGGGGGATGCCTGTTGCATTGTTCAGGGACAGGTGCGAATGGTCTTGAATGTGAACCTGTAAGTGCTCTGGGGGGATGCATGTGTTCCTTTAGTGATTCAGTAACATCTAAAGAACTGCTTTGCCCATCACTACACCAAAGTGTAACAACATCAGCTGGTTCAAACTAACTGATGAACAGAGGCTAATACAAAAGTGGTAAAGTGAGCTCAGCAGTGTGACATCATGTGGTATATAATATATATTTAAACAAGAGTTTAAACTGGAGAAGGATCTGTGGCATGAAAACAAAAAAGGCTGTTTGTAACTTTAGAGTAAATAACACCAGAAGTCCTGAAGTCAGTGAAGATGTGACGGGCTGGACAGAAACCAGAGGATCTGTAACCTCTGTGATGGTGATGACGATGATGATGATGGTGTGGGACATGAGTTTCATATTCAGTTTGAATGTCAGAATGAAGCTTAATGACTTCCAGAGAAAGGTATTAGCCAAAGTATTATTTGAACCGTCCATCTAAAGTCATCTGTTAACTGGGTGTTTTGTCTAAAGAACGTTCTTCCTCTGTTTGAGTAACATTGGTTGTACTTTGGCCACGCCGTGTGCCATCCTTCTGTTATTGTATGTAATGTGATATGGTCTTGAAAATGAAAATAAGAAACTGAATGTATTTGCTATCATCCAAAGGTTTTTATCATCTTAATTGGGATCAGTGGACCCAACAGTATCTCTTTATGCCCATGAATTTAACGATCCAATGCCTGTTGCATTGTTCAGGGACAGGTGCGCATGGTCTTGAATGTGAACCTGTAAGTGCTCTGGGGGGATGCATGTGTTCCTTTTAGTATGATAAGTAGAGAGCATAATAGGCCAGCCAGACAGTATTGTTTGAATGTAGTAAACCACATTGAAAGTGACGGAGGAAAAAGTTTTGTAAATATATTTTTTTCCAATATTTTTATTATTATAAATGCTTATTCATAAAACTATGATTGTTGTGTGATTATTACTCATGATATATACTGTTATGGGGCTAAGTAAGCAATCAGCCCTGCAAATGAATACTTAAATGTTCTGTATATCTGTTCAGACAAAGTGAGTACAAACACAGAAGTTCTGCTCCCAACTGTGCCCAATGTTGCAAATTTACAACATTTCCCTAAAAACTTACTAAAATGTAAAAAAATTGAAAACTCTTTCATTTCTACATCAGAGGCCTCCTAAAACAATATCTGAGAGGTCAAAAAACATTTTGCTCATTTTTTTCTATATCTGGGTCTTACAGGGCTAATGGTGTAGCATGACCCCCTAATCGGCATCAGGTGTGTAACAAAGGTGTGGTATATATAACAGATAAGTGTACCTGTGTCTCAATATGCTTGTTGATCTTGAAGGCGGCCCAAAGGCTGAAGTGTCATCAAAATAAAAGAAGTGCGTATGGCGCAAGAGTGTGCGACACTTGTTTTCTACAAACAAGTCTTTGGCCAGTGATCAGCACCTCATTATAAATCTTGGTGTGAGTTACTTTTATATTTTAAATACATAAAGTCATTAACAAACTCAAATCACGGAATCTCTGAATCTCCCTTTTTCTTACTTCATGTAATCTTCTTCCTTAATCATCTACATGTCTCTGCACCTGTTTTTACTTGCTCTGTGATCACTGCATTACGCAACAAAATTTAAAAACCAAAAACAAACAGCAATATACCACTTTTTTAGCAACGGCAAAGAAATTTAATGCTTAACCAATGGGATGTCAGTTAGTTTATTAAGTTTACATTGTAACGTAATGTGTTACCACCCAAAATAAACTGTTGACTGTCTTCATTTTTCATTCATCTACACTAAACCACCTCTGCCAGTGCACCACCAGAAAAAAATCCCCCCTCAAAGTTTTTGTGTCTTGTCATTATAGGATATATTAGAGAAGGGTGCTGGTGATCGGCACAACTGGATGATGTTGTATTGTGCATTAGCCTGTTCAATGTGTTCACATTCACATGTCTACAGTGTCTACATTGTATCCCATTCTGCTTTTCCATATAAAAGCTGGAAAATAAAAGCTGTGAATTTTCCTCATCCTGGTGATTGGCCCATTTGGGTAATGCTGTCAAATGTGTGCTAGCATGTTGGATGTACAAAGAAACTCATTTTAGCTGCTTGTATCTGCAAGCTCATTGTTTCAGTCACTACCCAAAGCTCATGACCATATAGGTGAGGGTTGGGTCATAGATGGACCAGTAAAAATAAGAGCTTCGCCTTCTAGCTCAGCTTGCTTTTCACCATGATGATCCTGTTCAGCGCCCGTATCACTGCTGACACCCCACCAAACTGCCTGTCCATTTAATGCTCCATTTTATCCTCACTTGGGAACATCTCGTCCAAGTCTAAGGCCATGGTCCTTAACTGGAAAACAGTGGATTGCCCTCTCTGGATTGGGACAATTACTGCTCCAAGCAACGGATCACAAATATGTCAGGGTCTTGTTCACAAGTGAAAGTAAAATGGAACGCGAGATGGATAGGCAGTTTGACGCAGCGTCTGCAATGATGTAGGCAATGTGCTGGACTGTTGTGGTGAAAAAACCTCAGGAAAACATTTTTTTTTGTGATATTTTTATCTACTTAGAATTCTGGACTGGGTAAAGCTTTATGCTATGTTCCCAGTAAGTCTAAGTTCTACTCATATGCAGCAATTTTTTTTAAAAATAAAATATTCAGGTATAGATAAAAACCTTTTATTTCAGTGTGTTGAAACTTATATAACTCAAGGACAGAAGCACTTACAGTGATTCTGAATGTTGGGAAAAACACTTGTTACCTTTCAAATGAGACCATGTACATGTACTACACATGGAACAAGAACAGCCTTGAATTTACTTAGGGCATGCCTTGGATAGGTATTTTAGCTGAATTTAAGTGAATTCTATGAACAGGATGAGTGATTGCACCAAGCAAAAATGGTTTCTATGTCCATATTGTCACTTGACTGGTGTTGTATAACAGTGAAATAACAGTGAAAATGTCCTTTAACCGTTCTCTAGTTGTCATGTAAAGATAATGTGGAAAATGAGAAGTGTTTAGATTTGACACAATCGGGGTTTTCGTGGAATCATCTTAAGTCAACATTTTTGTCTAGCAATAAATTTGCTTTAAGCCCAAGCTGAGACAACCTTTAAAACACTGTCAAATTTGACAAAACTCCTTCAAGCCACATAAAACATTTCATGCCCGTTTTCATAGACTGTGTGGCACCAACCTTGACTGACAAACTGATCCATGTGTGTAAAATTTGGAGTGCCTTTTTCACAGGTGGTTAAACACGTCTGAACAATTCGGACAGAAGCACAACACAATTTGAGGTCTTAAAGGACGGTACATAGAGCTGTTTAACAGCAGCTTTCTGTCCTCAGACTTGACTTTCCAGGTCCTTTCAATACAGAATCCCATCAAGTACATTTGTCCTGGTACACACTGATATAAAATGTCAGCCATTGACAGGACATCACTGCACATGTACATGTTTGTTTTCTTGTACTTGACTCATCCTGATTTGTGATTTTGAAGGTACTGTTGAGGGTGGTCCATTGGCTCTTCCCAGACTTTGCTTTCATGTGGTTGGTGGAAGAGGCAAAGAAGAACATGCCATTAGAGCTGGACTTCCTTAATGAAGGACAAAATGCTGAGAGGATGGCTAACATGCTTGCCCACTTCCCCTTTCTCAAGGTAAACACATAGTGATGTATCACCAAACCAATTTGAAAATGCAAATTAGTCTGGAAGCCCTCAGTTAATTTTTGATTTTCAAGGGGCGTTATCACTGGCCAGATGGAGAGACCCACAACCAATCAGATCAACACAAAAAGTTAGGTAATGCTGAGCAACAGACAAATATAAACAGAATTCAGCATGCAGAATAACTGTCATGGTGTAGTATTGTCAACATGTCTGTGAACAAGTGTTGCCATTTTTGCCATCAGATTTGACAATAGTACTTCAGCAGAAAGTTCCAGAGCCATCTTGGTTGTTTTTGCTTCAGTGGAGCTCCTCTTTACTAAGCTCAGTTTATGCTCCTTGTCCTGTCCCTGGAGCGGGGGTGCATGACTGAGAAATGAAGAAACTGTGTATTTGCATTAAGAGCAAAGGTTTCGCAAGTTGTCAGTCATTTTATCAGACCTGCCCCAGGTTAGATAAACTGTGACTGACCAGGTCGAGCGTCGAGTGGAAATCTGTTTGAACAGGAGTGGGACCAGACAAATCTGCCAGAGCAAATAAAACATGAGCTCACAGATTTGTCTGGTTTCCAGGCTAACACAGTAGGTAAAATTAAAAAAAACTTACAAGGCTTCCTTTAATAATGACAGGCCTATGGACTTCACAGTGGGATTTAGTATTTTGGTCCCATGTGTGAACACATACGAGTAAGCAGCTTGTAAAAAGAATACAATACAACTGGGGCACTAGAGAGCCGGCAATGTAGTAGGTTGGGTTTTTATCAGCTCCTCCACCCTAACTTGATATAAATATTTAACACTCATTTTTTTGCACTTTTTGATAGTGAAACTGGTTTATAAAACTCCAAAAAAGAAACCGACCCAGAAAGCCCACGAGTCTCCTTCTGAGATCGAAGATAACCCGCTGACCGAGTCAGCTAACGCTAACTCACCTGGCTCGACTAGACCTGGGCGTGGCCAAACTGACACACCAGAGGAGGATGCCTCCCTGTCGCCCATCCTGGAGGCCATTAGACGGATGGAAAACTCCATGAACGCGAGGTTCGACAACTTGGAGACAACTCTCGCTGGGGTTAAAAATGCTGTCGCTGCCAATACTTCCCGCATTATCAACCTGGAAGAATGGCACGGAGAGTTTGATGGACGTCTGGTCGAGTTTGAAAAAGTTACGGTGAGCTGTGTGCACAAAATAAACTCTTGAACGAACCAAAGTGAACGATTTGAAGGGCCGCTCGAGGAGACAAAATATTAAAATTGTGGGCCTGCCTGAGAAAATTGAAAGAGGCTCTCCAACTGCATTTATGTCTGCCTTGCTACCCAAACTCCTGGGAGTTGAATGTTTTCCCCCAGGGAATTAAAGTGGATCGTGCACACTGCATCTGCCCACCAAGCAACAGGCCACGAACCATGATTGCCAAGATACACCATGACACCGTGAAAGAGAAGATAATCCGGGTAGCTCGCAACGAGGGTTCACTAAACTATGAAGGGCAGCGCATCAGCATCTTTCTGGACATCACAGCAGAGGTGATGGACTGCAAGGAGTTTGATGCCGTTCGACTGAAACTCAGGGAAGCTGGTATCCGCCATGGGTTTTTGTTTCCTGCGCGTCTGACTTTCACTTATGCTGGACATACCAAAACATTTGAATCACCAAAGAAGGCAGCCACCTATGTTGATGAACACATGCAGCCTGCAGCAGCTGGAAGCACCGAGTGACCTGGACACCACCAACGCTACGGATGTGGTATGACTTATGTATGCACTTAGGCTACACAGGCCTGCCTGCACTGCTGTGTATATTTTTATTTTATATAAATTTTTATATCAATGAAAAAAAACAAATCCGTGTTACTAAATTATTATATTTTTACATGTATCTCACCATAGCAAGTTGGAAGTTAACATATTCTGCCATATATGAAGAGGGGAGACTCTCTGGAATCTGGCAGTGTAAGAACCATGATGCTGGGAGATTCTGTCACTTCACAGTTGTCCAAAACATGTAGTTGTGCCAGGCGGACATGATTGCCAGCATTTCATTATTGCAAGAAATTTCATTGACTCATTCACAAGTCAAAAATGTGTTTTATCTGAAAGAAACAGGCAATATTTACACCTAAGATAACAGAAAAATAGTAATAATATTATTCCTCACTATATGAAGTGACTGATAACAAGATATGTATAATGGATTGTAAAGAAATTTGTCAGGTTTTTATTTTGTAGACATTTGATCTGTATTTATAGCGTGATGGGATGACAGCACAATGATGTGGTATCACTGGAAAGCTCCAGCCCTGCGCTTTCATGTGATACGCGTGGCATTTCTGTGTGACCCTGCATTCGCGAGTAATCTATCCAAGAGTAATGTGTGTGCAAAGCTGTATGAAAGCTTTGTTATACATCATTTTAGTGTAATTTTATCATTTTTTTCACTGTGAAAACATTGGACCAAGAGGTCCAAGAGGGCACTTTAGCAAGCGTTTTTCAACAATTGGGCCACGGGGGTTCTGGTGTAGCTCTGAATTTCTTATAAACTGAGGACAACTGCCTGCTGTATATCTGTGTTCATGGTCGCAGTCACAGATAATTTTGTGGCATTTGTTGTAACATTACTAGACAAAAGCAGTTCACATCAGCTAACATTACATTTAGCTTGTTTATAACTTCCATGTCGTCATATATTGAAGTGAAACAACGTCTAACAAGTTGCGGTATATTCTCTAAATAAAAACAAAAATTACATACCTGTTGATTAGGAAAAGGGCCAACTGGGGATCAGTTTTAAAACCTTTCAAATCTCTCAGCTCTCTCCATTTGGTGAATGCCCGACCGAGGTTTACACGCGTTTGGGCTCGAGCCCTATCACTGTCCCGTTTAGCCTTCTTGTGTTCTTTTTCTTTTAGATGGTGCTCCTTCTATATTCGCCATGACATCGAAAGTACAACCAAGTCCTTATAGATACATCTGGTAAAACTGTTATGTGTTCAGCAATGCGCGTTGCGTACCGCATACTCGAAGAACACTCTGTAAACACGGCTCTTCTTCTTCTCTCAATTTACTGGCGGATCGCAAACAACTTCCAGGTGCATACCACCACCTACTGTACAAGAGTGTGCAATGTGTCCGAAATCATTCACCACTTCCTACTAGATGTTTCTTAAATCCTACTCGTAAACACGGCTCCTACTTCTTCTACGGTTTAATGGCTGTGGGACGCTGTGGGCATGCAGACTTACTTCCGCCTCTGGGTGCCGTATTCTGGTTTGCTGACTTCCGCTTTGTCCAACCCGACCGAGGCTACGGTAAATAGCCACATAGAGAAAGGCTTTTTTGTCGCTGTTGGGTTCAAATAAATATGCGGATCTTCAAAGGGGGGTGATACGAACTAGGGACAGTTTTATAAATGGTAAACAGTTCTGCACAGCTGCTTTAACTACGACCTTTATTCATTTAGGTTGGACCTTTCAAACTATAAATATTTCACCATCCAATGTAAGAAATCAATGCTAACATTCAAAAATAGCTAACTGTTACCCTATTTCATGTGTAAGTGTGCACAATGAAGAGACAAAAGTCAATTTGAGAAACTTTATTTTCAAATTTCCACAAACAATATCTGATGGCCAGTCCGCTTCTCCTGGCAGCCTGCAAGAGACAGAAAAGACGATAAGCACATAATTTCAAGAAACAAATCAAAAATTTCACTGAATTTTGTGTTGGTTTTTTTTTAGCATTTTAGCTGTCTTTAGCTGTCTGGGTTTGGGTCCGTCACTGTGCTTAATTTAGTGTTGAAACAGTTAAATAACGGGATCCGTTAACGGGATCCGTTAACTCCGTTAACTGTTAACAGCAGATTGTCAAATTTTGACAATCAACTTGATTGCAGGTGGTGATTTAAATTATGTTTTAGATACTTTTTTGGACAGGTCTTCATCACGCCCAGTTAGTCCTTGAGACTCCACAATGATGAAGTCACTCAATTTGACTGATATCTGGAGGATTCACAATTCCTCAGAGAAAGAATATTCTTTCTTTTCACAAGTTCACAACACATACACAAGGATTAACTATTTTCTAATTGATTCTAAGCTAACAGCAATTACCAAGTCATCTAAATATCACAACATCCTAATCTCAGACCACAGCCCTGTTACTATAGGTATGGACTTTGGATGTAAAAAAAAACACTATAATTGGGACAGGCGATGTCTCAGCCTCGACTTTATGGGAAGCTTTCAAGGTTGTAATAAAAGTTTTTGTTTTATCCTATGAAGCTGCACAAAAAAACAAAAAACAGAGGAGATAAAGGTTATCAGTTATAGATCCCCAACTTTCCCTACTTGAAAAACAGTATCGAGAGGCTCCATCTTCATCGTTATTAAAGGCCCACTGTGTAAAATGGGTTGAAAACCGTTGAAAACAGTGACATCAGTGGTCAAATTCTAGATTGCAGGGCTCACTCGCTCATCCCTCCCGTCGGGTAAATGACGGTGGCCTCGTAGGGACAAAAAGCCTTGCGCAGACACGTGTTTTTCAGGAGTAGGTCTATCTAGCGACGAGGTGAATGTTTATTTAGAAATCTACATGTTACGATATTGTAATGAATCATTCACGAGCAGGAGACCAGAGTAGCGTTGTGGAAAAAGGCCCGTTTATTTGAGCATTCCAAAAACTCTGGTAACACTCCAGGGGGTAAAAGACTCCGTCCCAAACTCTGACTCTTCTAGTGTAACACACACACGCTCCATACACACATACTCGTTTACAGTACCTAGCGGGTACCTCTTATCTATCGCTTTGCCCCCTCCCCTCTCTGCTCCACCAATCTCCAGCCCACACACTGACTGACAGCTTAGCCTGTAAACAGAGCTCAGCTGTTTATTTAGCCTAGCAATATTTCCAGACTATAGTAGCTGCAATGGACGACTTTGAATGCGATTTTGAAGAGTTTCTTGTAGCTGACACAGACCCAGAGCCATACCTGTT